CACGACGTGCACATCGTCGCCTTCGGTCGCGACTTTTTATATTTCTTTTCGACATTTATTCGACATTTAAACATTAAATTGTACGAGAGAATGCAGTAAGTACTAAAATTCTACAAGAAAAAGTCAATCAATTAACATATTAAAATTCTTTGCAAAGCAAAAGACGTCGAGAATCGATCGCGGCAACAGTCATTAGCATAAACTTTTGTCAATTCTATTCTCTGTTTACATTGCAGGCGGGGTAATTATTTGAAAGAAGAGACTACATCGTTTCTCGGGAATTAATTATGTCACGGTGTCGGGAATTGCGCAAGTATGAAAATTCGTTATTCGGAAATTAATTTTGTCACGGTCGGAAATTGCGCTAATATGAAAATTTACATAACTGAAGCGATCTGAAGTGGTAAGCGCGTCGCTAGCACGATCGGGAATCGCGCGCGCATTACATATATTCGGCCGGTCCGTTTCCGGTGTGTTCCGCCGGTTCGGGGAGCGCGCGCGGCAGCACCGCCGCCGCCGCCGACCCGGCGTGTCACGCCACCGTCGTCGCCACCAGCTGTGCCGTGTGCCGTGTCGGTCGCGCCATTCCGGTCCGTTCCGCTGGCGACTGCTACAGAAAGCAACATGGCGCCCGTCTGTTTGCGGATACCTCTGCGACGGATATAAATACGCGAAAAGAGAAAAAAAGAGAGAGAAAACAGTGCCGCGAGAAACCGTTACGGACGATCGAGGGATCGGTGACGATCGGTTGTGATACGCGGGTCCGGTCGACGTCGCCAGGCATCGCGATAAGGTTGCGCGAACGCGTCTGCCTTGTCCCCCGTTGTCGTCGTAGCAAAGCGGAGCGGCGCGCGAAACCCTCCGAAGGCGGCTGAATTCTTGGTAATTCGTCGCGGCTCCGGAGGCGGCTCCCGCGAACGGTGCCCACCTGAGGAATGCCAGATCGGCCGCGCTTCCACCCGGCAGCGGATCGACGGATCGGCAGTGCGACGCGTCGCGAACGTGTGTGAGCGAGTCGTGACAAAAAACGACGTTTCGGAGGCACTCTCGCGCGAGAGGCGAGAGATCGCTACTCGTTCGCGCGACGGCGCACTCTCGTTCCCTTTCCCCCTTCTTTCTCGAATCTCTAGTCAACCCCGGACTCTCCCCATCTACTTCTTTTCCGTCCGGTTCTCCCTTCGCCACCCGCGCCTTTGTCCGTCTCCCCCTCCGTCCTTTTTCGCCCTTCGTCGTCGTCGTCGTGAGCACGCTCTCGCCGCTTCTTTATCGAGAAACGCTCGTGTAAGTTTCACGTGAAGCCCTTCTCAAAGCGGAAGAGAGAGAGAGAGAGAGAGGGACCCCTCATCGTCATCATTGAAGCAGCTATGGCGCGCGAGGAAGAACGGTGGTGCTTCTTCAACGGCGCGAACGGACGGCAAAGACCGATGCGGATTCCGCTGCTGTTGGTCGTCCTGTGCGCGCTTCTGGTGGGATCTTTGACGGTGGTCGCCGAGCACGGTGAGTGTACAATGTGTACGCGTGTTATATGAGAATGGCGCGTGTATACAAATGTCATTTGCGTATGTGTGTGAATGCGCCTTTCGATAACCTGTTGCGTATCACGGTGGATTCTTCTCGGAGCGGGCGGCGACTGCGTTCGCGAGAGAAAGAGAAAAGAAACGTGCGGAAGAGAGAGAGAGAGAGAGAGAGAAAGAGAGACAGAGAGTTTATATCACGCCTCGAGACAAAGTTCTCTTAAAACGGGCAACGTTTAAAATTAAATTCCAACGGATTTTCGTTCACGCCAGCTAAGGGGAAAGAAAAGGAAAGATCGAAGCGTTACCCGAAGGGATTATCCGAAAAAAAAAAAAAAAAAAAAAAAAAGAAAAAAGAAAGAACGACCTCGCGACACGGCGGAGTGTGCTCTCGTGGGGGATTTCCTCCCGAGAAGGTGATCGCGGTCGCTATTCTTTTTCGTGACGTATGTGTTTCGCGGAGGTCGTCTGCCAGACGGGTGGTCGGTCGTCGCGAGTGTTTTCGTCGTCGTCGTCGTCGTCGTCGTCGTCGTCGTCGTTATCGTTTACGTTCACGTTATCGTCGACGTTGCGTCGCGAGTGTCGTAGGCGATCTCGATGCTCTGTCGCTTTTCCTTGGAGGATCAACAACCCCTCTGGACATCTGACCAGATCAGCTGCTACTGCTGCTGTTATTGCTGCTGGGACTACTAGCCCGGCAGCCTCCTGCGTGGATATCCTTCTGTTGGAGCGGTGGGGCAAGGAGGTGCCGGAAGCAGCCGCGAATCCGGAAGCATAGCGAAGAAGATGGCCTTCAACGAGGTGAGTAGCTTGGCTTGAATGACCTATTTGCACGCATCGCATCGCATCGCATCGCATTGCATCGCATCGCGATAGCGCATCGGGTCGTTTCGATCCCGCGAGGTTGACCCCGCGACCCCCAAACGCCATTCCTAACCTAACCTCCGTTCCTGCGCACAGCTGGCACGCTATCAACTCCCGCTTTGCTCCTCCCGGCGCTTCGTCCTTCGCTCTCCCACGTCTCTCCCGTGACAGGCTTGGAAAATACTTATTGTTCGACAAGGATCGGTCTTACATACGTGGGCATAAATTCGATGAATGTCGTTTCATAAATTAGCTTTAAATCAATTCAAAACCGAGAACGAAATATTTACAATCCTGGCATTTTTATTCGCATTAACACCACACGATATATATCGAATTCGAAAAACCAGAGAACGAGATCACGCAATGTTTGTTTAATAATAATAATAATAATAGTCAAAGCAAGATTTGCGTAAAACGGTAGTGCTAATTGGAGTTGATAGCGACATGTTTATTATGTACCATAATTATGGACCGTTGATATCTCTTTCATATATGCAATTTAGATCTCTAATCACGACGTTACAATAGCTACAAGCTATTTGTACAAAGAAATTAACTGTTAAAGATATTTATCGTATCTATTTAAGACTTTATTCAGCCATTATATAATTTGGACTGTGTATATTGAATCTTCAATGTTCTAATAATAATGTGTTGAAAAATATAAGTGTTGCATAAAATATACACATATATAAAACGAGGCAAAGAGTTGGTAAATTCTTTTGTTCCACACATCGCGTGATAATGCGCGCCTAATTGTCTCGCGTCCTTGACGCGATGTGATAAATGTCATTGAAATACACGCAAGAGAAGTTTTTTATCTTCTACATAATAATTCTATCACTTCCACAATAATTTTATGTCGCTCGACGATGATTGGTCCGTCATTATCGCAATGTTACGTAGTTTTAGGAATTTGTAATCTGCTGTGGACTGCGCTTTGAACAGTTTTGAGTCACAACAATAACATTGATGAGCTCGTCGTCATAAATTTTGATAAAGAAAAGTTCGCCTTTTTGCCTCGCAAATACTGACTCTCGATAACGCATTACATGTTTACGTCTCTCGCGCAATCGATTTGAAAATAACATTCTTGAACTAGTCTCTTCGAGTTTTTATTATATTCTACATGTAATCTTTTTTATTATTACGATTGATTTTTAATAATTTTAATAATCTCGGTCGCGCATTTTATTTCATATTTCGAACGTATCCGAGTTTCCGCGCACAATAGAAGATAACATCAACCCTTTCACACACACACACACACATATGGACTATGGGAAACTTCCCATCATTTGTTAGTATATACAATGCTCGGTTATGTAGAGTCGCTTTTTATTATATTCGTTAATATTTCAGTCAACACTAATTATTACTAAGTATTACCAATTATTATACTAGTGTTTCACACTTCGTTTGAAAGACTTTACGGAAACGCAGAATGGAATCCGGGATTCTAACAGGATATAAATATACATGTATTCGAAATAATTTTCCTTACGGTCTGTTCGTCGAACGTTATCGTCGCGCATGACGCATGCAATTGTACAGTAGCTCTCGTTTTTATCGCGCTCGTCTATTTCTCGCCGGGTCGAGTCATATAAAAAAAAGAAAAAAAATACTTCGCAGTGCGTAATTAATATACCACGATCGGATTTCGCCGATAGCCTGCTATAACGTTACATACGGTTCATAAAACTCGACCGGTGTGATAATCGCGTATGGAACGTGACTTCTGTTCTCACGTAGCTCTTGATACTTTCAACGGAATATGCGATGCGATTCCGACAACTTCTCATCTTCCGCGCGAACGCGATTCGAAGGGTCCTCGAATTTTTTTCGATGACGCAGAAATTTTTCACTCCGTTATCGATCGCTTGTCTAAGTTGCGTGTGTCACTTTTATCACAGTTGATTGATTAAATTTTCTTCCTCGCGTAATTCTCAGACGCAAAACAACGCGATTGTTCGAAATGCGCGGATTAATTTCGGGTTCTTGATCTTGATTATCTCGTGACGACTGCGATGAATCTTAGATTTATATCGAGGAATACTTTATGTAAGCCGTAGATTCGTCATCGTTATCTTATCTTCGTCACGCTCCGCGATTTCGCAAGAGGGGTTTTTGATCTGTCCGTCAGGACTCGGAAAAAGAAAAAATCGCGAACAAAGCTACCTGCGCGACCCGTTGATATCGATCGAGATGTTATATATCAGTGCGTAGGATTGGGATTCCGCTTCGACGTCTCTTACGCGCGCGATACACGTACGGCTTCGTTCTCGTAATACCGTGAATTCTCCCTCGTTTCTACAACAACACGTCTATTCTCATCAAATGGACTCGTCGAGAATTAGACTCCAAGTTTTCCCTTCGATCTTTTCGGGTGACCTGGTAAAGCTGCGTGTTTCAGCACCTGATATACTGTACGAGTTTCACATATACGTGTGTGCTTTGAATCGTAAAACTTGGTAGCAAATTAAGGATTCTGAGCGCACTTGTTATTGGCGGTGCTGTCGAAATGGCTGTTTTGAAACTTCCTCAAAGTTTGCAGCCTGCGATATCTCACGAAATGTAATAGAACATTTCCTATATTCTGCACAAGCGATGCTACGAGGATTGCGCATTTTTTTTATGGGGCGCATTTAATTTTTTTTTAAATTTTTATACAACTTAATTTTATATGGGGAAAGTATTTTTTTATGCTTCAATATAATATCCCTTGTATAGTTTTGAATGCTAAACAGGTTTATCGCTTAAAAAGGTTTCTCGTCGTACGTGCATAGGGACCGGTAGGGACCCACAAATATCGGTTCTATTCTTCTTATCAGCTCGTACTTAAAGTAGCTCCGGTTAACACACGCGAGTACTTCTTATCGCCACGTTGTTCTCCATCCGGTTTTATCGTATATATAAAGGCGTGCACGTGGAATGTATACGTATATACCGTTATTATGTGGGCCGACGATCGACGAAATTTCGACGTTGTATCAAGTTTCTTTTTCAGGCCACCGCGTGCACGTAATTCGTGTAAACAAGTTTAATAATGCCCAAACATCGTTGCCTTGCAACACTTTTTTCATTAAGTCGACATTTTGTACAAATTATTTCGCGAATCGTATAATTATTTTTGTTTCTCTTTCACATTGTATAAATAACTTTTGCTTACATTTAAAGATTTCTTCCCGCGACTCTAGCTCTGTGCCATGCAAAATCAGATACAATATAAAATAAAGCATAGTGTAAGAGAGAGAATACGTGTATAAAATTCCTCAAGAGTTTCACGTATTTACTTTTATATTTGAAATGAAATAATTTTCTATATTAGAATCTAGTTCGAAATGAAAATCAAGACGGGAAGTTTTATTTTTATGCATGCCGCTAATTTGCTTTAAGGAAAAATCGCGTGACAGCGATCGCAGTTGTATTAGCGTTACGTAAGATCCGCGCGTTACACGGTATTTAATGGCTCACATTTCTTTGGAGGCGCGTGTATGATATAGGCCGGATGCGATGGGACACGTTCCAGATGCATCGACGTACGACCGAGACCGTGGGCGAGCAGATAGCTCGGAATCGAACTATGGAAATTGACAAAGGCGGGCACATCCGTGATTAAACCCGACGCTCGCGCGCGGACAATGCAC